ATGGTCTCCGACTATCTCATCACAGTCACGCATCGCCACTTCGCGCCCATGATGGACCTGCAGTGGGAAGCCTGGGGGACAGTCAGGGGCCTTTTCTTTTGAGATAAAAACTGCTCAATATCTTCAAGAAACGGGAAAAACATTCAAGGAAGCAGTGCCCATCATTACGGTCTGCAGTGGCGCAGGCTGTGTTTGCTAGACCTGAATTAGACAGGCATGTTCACCCAGGGGCCTTTTTTCTTGTTCTGCAAAAGTTAAGAGGCAATTACCTACATTTCAACCTTTTTATTATTAAGGCAACCGAGGCAGCAGATGGCGTGGCCTGTGTCAGCAAAACAGCAGTGAATTTCCACGGGCCCCCGTGGCACAGCGGGAGCCTCTTACCTCCGGGGACAGTTTCTGAATTCTACAGATAAGTTTCCAGCTCTGTCCCGGGCTTCCGAGAAAGAAAGCGGGGGGGGGGGATAAAAATCTAGAGGACCATGGAAACCAAGCGAGGAGCTGCCATAAACATCAAGAGGCTGATGTCGCTAATGCAACAAACTCCTGGTGAACAGAGAGGGGGCGAGAGCTGCGGAGGGAGCTCGGATAAGAACACGCCGGGCTGTGCTGCTCTAGTACCGCTTGGGAAGTCCTCGGAGCCCCTCGGTTTTTTAAGAAAAGAAATAAACAGCCCAGCCCTCCGATCACACTTCCCTCTGCTGCTGCGCACGGCTTTCCATGATGGACTCCCAGCCCCCTCCATTAACGCCCCCTTAAAAGTGGAGCACTTTCTACATGAGTCAACATGACACCCGGCACGCTGCACGAGGAGCCTGCTTCCCAGCTTGAAACAGAGGTTAAGATGTGCTGCACGGGTTTATCTTACCGTAAAGCTTTCGGCCCAAAGTACAGGAAGAGCTCCTTCCCCAAAGTCTCCACGCCGCAGTACACATGTCCATGCAACAGCCTCAGGGAAACCCCGCCGGAGCCGCTATCATTGTTCTGTGTGGCGGCCTAGTGGAAAATACACACACACGCACGTGTAAACAAAATTATGACTTCATTCTTAAATGTGCTTCTGTTGCTTCCTGCCCAGGTGTATGCCAACGAGAAAAATGATCTCCAACAAGCCCATGGAATCAGCTGTTTCCATACATTTTGTGCAATTACTAGGCAGTCATTTCAAATAAGAGAGGCCAGAAGACTGAGGTGGAAAAAAACAAAGAAGTCATTGGCGCACAATCACAGTGAGTTTCTCCCAGGACCACGCAGCTCTGCGGATGTGAGAAGGAAACACAGGAAAATGATGGGGATGTCTTAAAACCAGCGAGGACACAGCCTTCCATTGCCAGAAGCACAGCCAGGCTTCCCGAAAGAGCATTCCGATCGCAACAGCTAAAAATGGTGGGGAGAGTATGGGAAGGATATTCTGAGCTGCGATGATGAACTCGGAAGCCAGCACGCAAGAGGAGGAGGAGGTCCCCATCCAGTGAGAGTGGGAGGGGACGCCAGGGTGAGCAGCACCCGAAGCCGCCCTACCAGAGGCATTTACGGGGCCCACGGCACGGGAGCTCCAGCTTTCACGCCTGGTGGGTGTGGGGAACCAGAGAGCAAAGCCGGGCTTCCAGAGAAGAGGACTCTCACCGAGGCCTGCTCCTCTCTCCTTCCTCAACAATGTCAACAATAAAGGAAAAAGACAGCCACCACCTTCCCCCCATCCCATGCAAAACAAAGTGCAGAAGGGATGAAGCAATAATAGGTATTAAAAAAAAGTAGAAGATTGAGAAATGCCAGGAATTGAATTTTGTCCCTTCCAATCTTGACACCCCCTTGTGCCTGTGTTTGAAACAGGGCCTTACAGATGCAATTAAGGTTTGATGAGGCCACAGGGTGGGGCTCTGATCCAATGGAGTTAGTGTCCTTCTAAGAAGAGAGACCAGAGAGCTGGCTCCCCTCCTGCAGGCTCAGAGGAAAGGCCCTGTGAGAAGAGAGTGGGTTTCTGCCCACCAGGAGGAGAGCTCTCACCAGAAACCAAACAGGCCGGACCTTGATCTTGGACTTCTAGCTTCCAGAACTGAGAGAAGATGAACTTGTGCTTAACCCTCCCAGTCTATGGTACTTTGTTATGGGTGCCCCCAACAGACTAAGACAAGAACACACATGACTGTTCCACTCATCCCTTCACATCGCAAGGGCTATGTCAATGCCAGAACTCCCCGACTGCCTGGAGTTCACAAGGTCAGGTTAAAGGGGTTAGTCCCCTCCGTCCCACAAAAACTGGGGGGTCCATCACAGGTGCACGGTGACCCATGCACAGCGCATAAGGGAGCCTTCCCGTTCTGCACAAACCACTAAGAGGACCGGTGGGGGATCCTAGCACCAGGACTGCAGACACACAGGCCACCCCGCCCTCGGAAGACCTGCCTCTGGTTTCTCTATCTCCCCTGGATGAACCGGGGGCCTGTCAACGATGACCGAGCACTGGCCCGGCACGATGGAGGCCCCAACGAGGAAAAACGTGCTTTGACACTTGCCTTGTGTTCATAAAGGGATCTGTGAGGGCCCTGAACTGAGAAGCACCGGGAATCCCCATGGGTTTCTCCCTAACAAAAGCCTTCCCCCGCCACTGACACACACCTCAAGCCAAGTGCAGGTGAAGAGAGTGGGTGTCGATGTAGGTTTCCATGACAACCAACCAGTAGGCAGAAAGTTGTTATCTACTAGCCAGGACACTTTAAGAGGATGACAGAGAGAGCAGATGAAGATCTGTGATGAGTAAACTTTGCCTCCATGTGGGTTAGGTTTTATCTTTTTAGGATCTCGAATATACGGTATAAGATGTTTTAACATTTTAAACCTTCACTTCTGAATTAATGGCTCGGTCTTGCTTCCCCACTGCTCCATCAGCAGCCTCTTCTCTCCTCCCAGCATCCTTTACCAGCGACTGTTTACCCACGTGCTCTGATCCTCTGGCTTCTGCTGGGTTCCCAGCGGCGTCCGGTGGGCATCCCATCCCGTCTCGTCCAAGCCGCCCAGACGCCGCAGTCGCTGTCCCTGCTTCTTGGTAGGGAGGATGTTTCTACGGTCATTCCAGTGCTTTAATCGCCCTAAATCTTTAAGTTTCCCAGGTTAAATATAAAATTCAACACCCACCCAAGCTGTTGGAAAAGGCCATTCTGTGCAGCCTGTCACCCCCGCCAGCCTCCTCGAACCCCGGCTTCCCTTTCTGGGAGGTAAAGAGCCCTCCCAGCCGGTGCTGGGTCTATGGTCTGTGAGGGGACATCTTTCCCGGGTCCGGGCTTGATGTCGATTCCTAAGTGCTATTTAAGAGCTACACATCAATGGTCCCCAGAAATGCCCCCCCACACCCCCGTTTCTGTATTTCAGACCCAGGGGAGGGTCCTTGCACTGCGGCACCTAGTGGGGTACGTGCGTGTCCACCGTGGATCAGAGCCGAGGACAGTGCATAGTGGGGCTGCACCTTGTGCACTCCCGCTCCGTCTGCTGTAAACAGGAGAACCTGGTGTCTTTCCCCAGCAACTTGGCATCGGGCTTTTTCCAGGGCCCTTCCCTGCCTTTACCCTTGTGATGTGATATGAGATGACAGGCTGTGAGTACATAGCACTCATGCGAAGTCTATTTTCTTTGGCAGCCTGGCCCCTGGTGAGCACTGAGACGCAGTATCTGATTGGCCGCCTGAAAACTTCTGTGCCAGTTGCCAGGGGCTGTTTCTCACTGCCCTGCTCTAAACCCCACTGCCCGCTCCACACATTCCAATGTGGGCACCACGGGACTGAGTTGCTCTACTTCGCTACTTCTGCTCCCTGCCCAGACCACTCTCCCTCCATGAACCCTGACTTTGGTGTTCTGTAACGGCCCCTGGCAGAGCGGCGGACGCGGTCACCTTGAGGCAGAAGGCGCTGCCACAACACCTTGCAAAACAGTGCAGGAGTCCCCGCTGTCTCCTGGGACGGCTCCCGTGGCTACATGAACGGTGTGACAAGAACTTACCCCGCGTAGTTTAAGCCTCTCCCCACCTACCGCCGTCACCGGGCTGTGTCTGCCACTGGGCCCTCTGACGACAATGGTGCCCGTGCCCTCTGGAGAGACACCTCTGCTCATTAAAGACGGTGGCACCCTCCACGGCTGCCTCACTGCACTCGCGCACTGTAGACAAGTTCATCTCCGTCCACTGTGTCTGAGGCCTTGTCCTTGATGTTGGGGGTGTATCAATGAACACACACACACACACACACACACACACACACACACACAGAAAAGCCTGCCTTCAGAACGTTTGTATTCTACTGGGAGGAGATATTTAACAATAAACAGGATAACAATATATGAGAACATTCTGAAAAGAAATTGAGATGAGAAAGAGCTCAGGATTAGGGGAGGGCGTAGCGGGCTGTAATTTTAATCGGGGCGTCCTCGTGGGGAAAACGATATTCGAGCACATCTTAGAGGAGGCACCAGTGAGCCACATCTAGGCAAGAGGAATGGCAATGGATACACATGCCCTGCGGGGGGCAGAGTGTCCTGTGTCCCGAGGGAACAGACACAGAGCAGGGAGAAGAGGGGACCCACAGGAAGTCTGACATCATAAGAATCAGATCACGTGCCCATCAGGTCCACGGTAAAGGCCTGGCTCTTCTCCGACAGAAACGAGGTGGAGAACAGATAGGCTCTCCATCACTCTTCTAAGTGCTCTCTTCACTGCGGGGCAGAATTCCTGCTAAAGGACCCAGGGTAGAAGCAGACAAGAGCCGGAGAAGATGCGGGTCATTTGAAGCCACCCTGTTAGCGACACACCCAAGTCTAACCCCGCAGTCAGACATCGTTGGATGTTGTTGGAACGGGCTAAACAAAATATTTAAGAGTACAATTCATCTCAAAATTGTTTTGTGCCACTCCTTCTTAAATCGATATAGTTCTCATTGTTCAGAAGAGAACAATGAGAAATAGTAAAAACCTGGTGAAAAAAAGATATGTTCTTAATGAAAACCTCTACCTTTTTTTATTTTTGCCTAAATAGTTAAATGCTCTGGCTCCTAACAATGTTTATTAGGCAGAAATTCAAACCCAGCTTATTCTGACTTCTGCCCTGGATGGTCCCCGGGGTGGGGGGTGGGGGGGTGGGGGTTCTAGGTGCTAAAATCCTAGGCCCTGCCTCAGGGTTGCACAGAAGCTGCAGTGAGCACGTTGGTTCCATATTCGGCCTGTAGAGCCGAAACATCCTCTCTAACCAATGCTGAGGGCCGGGTTACAAACAAATCCAGGATTACTCCCTCAGGCAGCAAAGCAGTCCTGGAGCAAACATCTCTCTACTCTCCAACTTACTGCCAACCGCCAGCAACCTCAGAACGCGGAGTGGATCTACCCGCGGGAAACTTGGCTACCTACCAAAAGGAAGTCTCAGGGGCCGGCCCTGCAAAACTTCAGGGTTCCCGGACGGCGTGTGAACAAGAGCGCGCAGAGCGTGCCCCTGTGAGTGAGTTCTGTGCTGCGCAGCGGGAGGAATCCCAGAGCACGAAGGGCAATGGACTTAACATGCATGAGACCACTGACCCTCTCCGCACGGCTGTCAGGGAAAAAGGACACGTGTTGTCCCGGCTGACAGAGCCTCAAAGGGAACCGCAGACCAAACCCTTCACGGAGCAGTGGACGTCTCACTTCTCTTTCTCGTGTTTTGTCCTAGTCTCCAAATTAAAGAGAACACGCCACACGCCATCCCCACGAGAAATGCTGAGGCGGACATGGAATCAGAGGCCCGAGGAAGGTGACTGTGACCTTCAGCACAGAGGTGGGCAGGAGGGGAAGGGAGGAACCCTCCAGGTAGAGAAATGGTCTGGAAACCTGCAGACCCGACGTGATCGGTGGCCCGTGCAGCAGCAATGGCTCCAGGTGCGGGTGCTGCGTGACCTTGCCTGGGACCAGTTTTAATACTTGATGAGGAATTAAGATGAAATGTTAGCAGGACCCCTTCCTCGCTCACAAGCAGAGCCCTTAATTCTCCTGCTACTAGCACGTCCCCCCTGCGAAGCAGAGTGAGTGTGAGGCTTTCTACCTGGCATGGGGTCGGGTAGGCCGCAAGCACAGAGCTCACCACCCGGAGTGATGCTGTGATGTCCTTCTCCCTCTGTCTGTAAGTTCCTTGGGGACAGCAGGGATGCTGATGGAAATCCCTGAGCGCCCCACTCAATGCCTGGCGGGCAGTGAACATTTTGGGGGTTAATCTGCTCCCTCCTCCTTTTCCTCCTAAATCTGAGTGTGGCTTTAAAACCCAAGCCCGCTGTCTCCCCACCCACCACCCCCATCTTGCTTTACCAGCCCAAGATTTCTTGGCAAAAACTTCCACTCTGCCATCTGCTTAACCTACTCCGAAAATTATTAACATCCCAGACTCCTGTTTTCTCATTATCTGCAATGGATTGCGGTTTAAGTATAAGAGGACCAAATGCTCATGACTATCAAAAGCTAGATGAAAAACAAAATATTACATTTACCAGAATCTCCCACAAAGTGAAAAGAGCTCTATGGGAAGGTTTCAAGAGGGATTCAGGAAGGGACTGATGTGTTTTCAGCAACCAGTCCTCGGATGCCCTGGTTTTAATGAGACGTTTCCTTAGCCATTAAAGGATTGCTTTAAAAACATGGATTCCAATACTTCTCTTTAGTTTTGAGGAAAATGATACGTAAAAATCCTTTTATTCAGCGTCTGTCACACTGACACCTGACCCAAGTCATAGGATTCCCAGTACACACATTCCTAAAATCGTCAGCTCTGGACAGTATACTTGGGACAAAAAAATAATTTTCAATGGATGATTGGCTATGTCCAGCACCTGCACATATGTTTTAACTGCTTTTTTAAACTCCATCTTTGGGGGGAAATTCTGGTATACCAGTGACAGCTTGCCCCACTGATGTTGAGAGCTATCGCGGGGGAACGAGCCAGGGCTTTTGCATGAAACCTAAGATTTACAAGGTATTTACCGGTCCTACTGTAGAATCCCCTTTGTATGAGCTCCAGCTGCCCAAATCCAAGAAATGATTTCCCACAAGCCTACTGTCTTTGCTATAACCATACACAACAGCCCGATATATACTTCACTTTCCCATGGTGACCCTTATAATCCGGTCACTATATTATTTGAACATTTCATCCTCCCCGCCCCCGCTCCCCTGGAATAGAGCTGGAAATCTCTGCCACGACTGTAAGTATGATTGAGAAGGGTTCACCTTCCCATTGTCAAGTGGCTTAATAACAGGAAACCGTCAGAACCACATGGATCTTGGGAGACAGCACACGCCTTACGGGGCTGATAACCACGCATCCCCCTTGGCCGTGGGGAAGGGAAGAGGAGCTCCTCAGAGCAGATGAAGGCTTTTCCACAGAGAAACGTTTCAGGCTCTAGTGCAGTGACGCCATCTCCCCAGAGGAAGAAAAGTATACCAGGTTTACTCTCGCAGTTTCTTCTCCTGATTTTCCTACCTTTTCAAAAATTTCCTAATACAACACTTTTCTTATTCAGAGGTCACGTCTATGCCAATTTAAGTCATCAGGGTGCCCATTCCCCCAAAGAGAGGTCTCGGTCCATTCATCAAAACAGCCTGCAATTTCCTAAGTGCGGAACCTTCATGCACTTCACCCGGAGGCGAAATGCTTTGCACATAATTTGAGGGCACAAATGATTACAAAAAAGACAAAGGGTTCTGGTGAGAAAGCCCTGATCTGGGAGAAAAAGTAACAATTACCAGGATCTGTCCTCTCCTAGGCACTAAACTACGAGTTTTAGATTTTTCTCTAACCTAACCCTGAGCAAATAAGCACCTACAGATCAGGAAGTCAGGAAGGGGTTGAACCAAGAGAATTGGATGTTCTTTTCTGGACATCACACTGCATGTGATGATTACAGCTACCATGGCCGTGGGCCGTCACCTCCCTCCTCTCCTCACCTGTAAGCCTTAGCTGTTGCCGCCTACCTCTTGTTCTGGGATTCTATCTAGTGCTGGTAACAGCCCTGAGACATTAAGGGAAAACCATTACCAGTAACCATTTAAGAAGGTGAGGAGGTACACAAGACATGTCCCACAAAGGGAAGAGCTGGTGTTGTTCCCCTGGTTCCTTCAATATTCAACATTTTGTTGAATGGGTAAATTTTTATAAGAATATTTTAACATTCTAAGAGACCATCCAAGATTCATCTCTGGGACACCCTGAGAAGATTTTAAGAAGCACTGTAATAAGAGACGAGATGCAGACGACGTACTGACATATAAAGTCAAAATAAATAAAATGCAAAGGCAATTGGGAGGAGGAAGGAAACATGGTTTTCCCAAGTTTGAAAACTGTACTTTCTCAGTCTTAGGACCTCATTTGTTTCAAGTTGAAAGCACATGCTAATTTCACAGCAGGCGACTTCTTGCAGGACCAAAGGCTACCAGGAAGCTTGGAAAGAGAACTGAAACTCAGCAGGATATCTCATGAAACACCAGGGTCTGCACATCCAGGGGGCTTTCAAAGCTGGATAGCTTCATCAGACTCTTGAGTAAGTTCTAAACTCACCCCATGAACATCTCACCAACAGCAGCAAAGGCCCTAGTGGCAAGACGCTGTGCTACAGATCATTTTAAGGAGAAAGAAATTCACTTAAGGGAACCACAACTGGGTTTCCCTGCCCCTTCATCAGATGACAATACTGCGTGGGAAGGTTTGTGCTAAATTTTGCATGTGCTGTTTAGGAATTATAAATTAGTTCTGATACACTTAACATGTTGGGCCAGCCAGGAGCTAGAATTGCATGCTGAAAGCTTGCCTTAAAAATGTAATGAAAGCCCTAACTGGTTTGGCTCAGTGGATAGAGCGTCGGCCTGCGGACTCAAGGGTCCCAGGTTCGATTCTGGTCAAGGGCATGTACCTGGGATGCGGGCACATCCCCAGTAGGAGGTGTGCAGGAGGCAGCTGATCCATGTTTCTCTCTCATCGATGTTTCTAACTCTCTATCTCTCTCCCTTCCTCTCTGTGAAAAATGAATAAAATATATTTTTGAAAAAATGTAATAAAAGTAAAAGTCACAGGTTGCAGAGACCTGACCATGTTCATGGCGGAAAACGCAGCTGTGGCTGTAAGGGAGCCTTCCCTTGCTGGCCTGTGCAGTTCAGCCAGGGGACCTGCAA